GGAGAGAGGAGAGGAGGAGGGGGGGAGGAGGAGAAGGATTATCGTGTTTTTCGGTGTTTCGGTGTGAAAGAAGGAGGAAAAAAAAAAAAAAAAAAAATCCTCCGGAGCGACCGCAAACCGCCGACATTGCTCCGCGCGAGGGCTGCGAAAATGTTACCCGGAGAACAAGTGCTAGCTGTAGCCGCTAACGCTAGCCATCCTGCTTGCCTTGCTAGCCGCGCTGGCTAACGCTGCGAGCCACGCTGATAACTTCCATCAAAGATAAATATTAACGTCTCCGGCGGGCGGCGAGGCGGAAAAACGGACGGCGAGGGCGAGAAATTCTGTCAGGAAGAGTCCCGAAAGACGCCATCTTTCAAAAAAAAAAAAAAATTCTGACACCGAGCAGGCGTTGGTGGGTCTAAGTTATATCGGCCCCTTGTCCTCCAGAATATCAACTCCTAGAATAAGAAACACACCAGCTAAACACACAGAAAACAGCCGGGGAACACACAGCCCGACACCGGCTTGCCAGCTCACACACCTGCCCGCACACAAGCCGCACACACACGGACAAAAGGCACCGAGCAGGAGACAAGTTTGACAAGAGAGAAAATTAAAGTTATGAAATTAAAAAAAGCCCCAATGTGCACTACTTACTCAGCAGCAGTCCTCCTCTAGATTAATTAAATATATATCTATAAGAAGCCGATCCGCGGTGGAATAACAGCACACAAACAGCCCGGCCGCCTCCTTCCCGCAGAGCCGCGTTCAGTTGCCGTATTTTGGATTTAGTTTTGTTGGGATTTGTGTAAAAACAGAGAAACTGAAGCTACAAAACAAGAAGAACTCTTCTTCAATCTCATTCAGCTCAGCCTCAGCACAGCACAGATCCCTGCGCTCCGGAGCTGGAGGAAGGGGGACAAAAACTAGCCGCACGTCCCGCTAATGCCCGTTTGTCCGCGACACGGCAGTCGATGTCGGTGCGAGTCGCCGTTAAAGTTCGTTAAATCGGGCCGATCAGCGAGGCGAGGCGGCGGGGAGAGGTGTTCGAGGAGCGGACTACTTTTTGTGTCGGTGCGGCGAATTTATTTCACTTTGCCTAAGGAACGGCGGTGCTGCGACTCCCATTGCCTAGGGAAAAAACCCGGATGTAAACTCAGTGAAACTCTATGGAGAGAAAGTCAGCACACACACACACACACACACACACACCACACACGGACACACACACACACACACACACACCGTGAAACTCGGCAGCACTTGCTTGTGCTGTTGTGTTGTTGTTGTGTTGCTGCTGCTGCTGCTGCTGCTGCTGCTGCTTCTGCTGACTGGCTCCGTGTTTCGGCTCCGTGCCTCCACAGCCGGGCCGTCCGCTCCCAGCCTGCCGCCGCTCAGCCTCCATGTTCGGCTGCTCGCTGCTGCTGGAGCCGCCGGACTGTTGCACTTTGTGGAAGAAGAAGAGGAAGAAGAAGAGGAGGAGGAGGAGGAGGAGGAGGAGGACAGGTGGCTCGGCCTTTTCTCCTGCTCCTCTGTTTTCTCCTCACTGACTCCACGGTGACAAATAAATGAATCAGTGGAGGAATGTAACCGAGGAAAGTCACATTTATTGGTTCTCCATCACATAAATCCTGCACATGAATCCCCAAATAACAAACACTGACATTTTCTGGGGTACTGTGACCAAGTACTTCCATATATTTTATATCCTTCTTACAAAAGAGCAATAAAGATGTATGTGTTTTTATTACATTTTTTTTTTCAATCTCATGTTTATATTTCTCTATATTTTTTAACTTGTGTCTTTTATTGCTGGCATTTTCCTTCTTTTTTAATATTTGATCTTACATGTTGTCCTGCATTCTATTGTTATTTTCTTGTCATAGTTATATATTTAAATTTAAAATATTTTCCTCTATTTTTTGAACTATATTTTCAGCTTGTGTCTTTCTTTATTTCTTAAATAAACAAGCAATAAAATATTCTTTTCTTTAAGTACTTCCATTTAATGTTTGGCTGTATTTTTTTCCACTTGTATCTTTTGTTTCTGTAATTTCCTTAATTTTTTTCAAAAAGCGATTTAACCTGAAATGTATTGTGATTTACAGTTTCTGTGTTTATTTTGGGGACAGTTTTTTCTGCTGTTTTATTATTTATTATTGTTATTATATCACGATAAACTCAGTAGATTAATCTTCAAAAAAACAATATAATATTTAGAGGTTTATGTTTTATTTTATATTATATTTAAGATAGTTGTTCTTATTTTTCTTGATAGATTTATTTTTTCTATATTTTTCAGTGTTTTTTTTTTATTTTTGTCTTTTATTGTTGATATTTTCTTCCACTGACAAAATATTTTACTATAAATTACATTTTATTTCTGATTCACAAGTTTTTTTTTCATATTTTATTATGTTGTTTAATTTTGAATTACTGTTATATCAGGCTACAAACCTGCATATGACTTTAAAACAGCAAACTAATTTATATGTATTTATAGATATTTTCAGGTACTTTAACCAAGTCCCACCATTTTATGTTTTAATCTTATTTTATAATTAGCATTCGATTACTATTTTTTGTTGGAATTTATATGCTTTAATACTTTTCTTAGTTATTTTTTTAACTTCTATTTTGTATAAAATATTTAACCTTAAATTTACATTTCTTCACAGTTTGCAAGTTTATTTTCTGGCATTTCATCTTTCCGTTTTCTTTTATTTATTTTTTATAAAAATAAAAAAACAAAAACAAACAACTTTAAATGTTTTTTTCATTAAATTTAAGTGTAACAGTTTTTTTTCTAGCTTTCTTTTTCTTTTGTTTCTAATTTCTGTTTTAACCTAGCATTTATTTTAGTTACACTTCTGTGCCGTGTTTTTACCCTCTCTTGTTCTTTCACCTTTACTTAACAGGCAGGGCCTCGCAGAGGAAGCTCTCTTGCACAAGGACGCCTTGATCACAATATATGAAACAATGAAAGCACTCGAAGGTTCCTGTGTGCTTCAGCAAATTAGACAACAAACAGACCAAGGGCATCAACATAAATGCTTCGTATTAGTGATGGGCTTTTTCTTTTTTCCTCCTTCGTCTCAACCAGCTACAACAGAAACAAGCTGCTTTCATTTTCCTGCAAAAGCAAAACAAAAATCTAAGAGCCTTTTTTCCTGCTATGCGTTCTTCCACTGTTGATGTTTAAAGTACATTTCTCTGATTGTTCTTGCACGCTGTTACGTAATAGCTTTGATGCAGGACTTTCACTTGTAACTGAGTACTAATACTTTTACTTTATTGTTCTAAATGACACTTAAAGCTGCTTTTCCCAGCGTTACGTTATCGTACACTTTATCAAAACACCTGGAGAAAATAAAACTTGAATAGTATAGGAGCCTTTTATCTGCATTGAGAAGTTTAATCTATAATACTTTGAGTTAATTTCTCTATTTATAAATTCATACTTTTACTTTGGTAATATTTTTAATACTTTAACTTGTATTAAATTTATTTTTATTTGCAGTTTACAGGTTTTTTTAAAATTTTTTATTCTACTGTTTAATTATTGATTGTCATTATATCACAATAAATCCTGCCGGTGAATTCTAAAGGAACAAATAATGAACTATTTTGAGGTAACTGTGATCAAATACTTCCATTTTATTATATTTTATACTCCATACTTTATATTCTTATTTTACAATTCATACTTGCAGTTATTTTTTTTTGTATTTTTCTATATGTTTTTGATTATTTCTTTGAGTTGTGTTTATTTTTTTTGCTGATATTTTTCTTCTTTTAAAAAAATCTATTTAATTTTACATTTTTTGTAATAACACTTTGCAGGTTTTATTTTAGTATTTTATCTTGCTGTTTTGTGTTTTTATTGTTGGTACATCAGATTTAAATTCGCAGAAGAATCCCAAAAGACCAAACAAACAATAGAAAGTGAAATATATTTAAACATGCATACTGCTACAGTTATATAAAGAACCTTTACTTGTAATCAAATATTTGTGCGCTCCACTGAATGACCCTTACAGCTTCTTTCACAATAACATTTAACATGTAAAACATTAGTGTTGTTTATAAATCACATTTAAAACAACTGCCTTGATCCACAGATGAATAAGATTACTATTAAAAATGTACCCATCAAATATTAAATCTATCCCACAATATTATTCATGACACACATAAGATCACATTATGAGCTTATAAAGAACAATGTGTTCACAAATTACCACATTATGTGACAAAATTAAGTTAATAAACTCAAAATCAATAATTAAAGAACCTACTATATGTGTTTCTGTATGATAAATCCCTTTATTTTCCATGTTTACTCCTTCAGCTCAGTGTGACTCCACCTCCAGCTTCCACCCAGCAGGGGGCGCTGCAGAGAGAAGCCACAATACAAACACATGCTGCTGATGCAACGCATTAAGCTGCTTTTTCTCTCTGATCTTTGACATTTTTATTCACGTAACTGCATCATTTTACCCTTCGAGTCTATCTAAATAAACTAATGAAAACTAAAAAGTCCCACTGTGGTTGAACTGCTCATAAGTTTGTTTTTCGGGTGTCTGAAACTCAAAAAATTCGCCCTGCTGGCTGCTCCTGCGTCAGCTTCTGTGCCACAGTGTCATCATTTATTTAACCTCATGTATTTTACTGTGGAAGTGGGACATTCAGGTGAGAGGAGCTGCAGCGCTACCAAACTGCAGCACATTGCTGCTGTCAGTCAGTTCGTCCACCACTTACTGCTGCAGCTGTACTTCTGTGTTTGCAGCTTTTAGTTCCAGCAGCTCTGTGGAGCTGAAATCATTATTTTACCAGTAAAAACGCAGCATCGGCTTCTCAAATGTGAATTTTCTTCCAGTATTTGGGTTCTGTGATGATCTAAACATGTTGATTTAGGCTTCAGGGAGCAATAATTGTCACTTCTGAATATATTCTGACACTAAAAGTCAATCAGTTATTGAAGAAGATGATGAAGAGCTTTTTGAAAACCTGTAATATTTACTCACTGTAATAGATGAAGACTTTTCCATCATAAAGTGATGCAGAAAAGCAACAAATTGGTGCAAAAAAAATCACCAGAATGCAGGAAATGAGGTGTTTGATGCTCAGATTTCAGTGAGAAGACGTCCAGACCTCCAGTGTTTAAACAAACCCATGTTCATATTAATGAAGGAAGCCACTGGCTGCTGCTTTACAGTTCACCTCTGATGGAATAATGCAGCATTTCTGGTGCTTTTATGTTTCTTATGTGCTTGACACACAGAAAGAGGTGAAGGCACATTGATAAAACACAACTTTTATGAAACATTAACACCTGATTTGAGCCAAAGAGTCTCCTGGAGTTCAGACCAACAGGCTCAGCAGGTAGCTTCAGTCGTCTATTACTTTAGTTTAATGAATTTAAAGCAAATTTAACAGATTATTAAAACTGGTTGTCGGGTTGTTTCTGAGGTCAGATGTCAATGTCTGCTCTGATTCTAGTTGTTTTTCTGTTTCAGGGTTTTGCTGCCTGATCTTATTTTGTTTTTCTGGATTTTTCTGGAAGCTTTAACTTTTGCATTTCTGACTGTAACACCATTCACTGCAGGTGTGACCATGAAGCAGGAGGCTGGCTGCTTAGCTGTAGAAAGAACAGCAATGCTGAAAAGTGAAAGCAGACATTTCCTGAACTGAACAGCAGCTGCAGAGACAACGAGGTCAGCTACACCTGGAATATATTATCCAGAAGCTGCAGCAACATGCAGGTTGTTTCAGGGACGGCTGACCTTTGGCTTTGTAGAACCTCTTTCAGGGAGAAACTAGTGACTCCACTTCTGAGCAGCACTGATTCTTAAGTCTCAAAGAGTTTC